TGTGTAAGATTTGTTACTGTTTCCTGTGTAATATTTGTTACTGTTTCCTATGTAAAATTTGATACTGTTACCTTGTAAGATTTGTTACTGTTACCTGTGTAAGATTTGATACTGTTACCTGTGTAATATTTGTTACTGTTTCCTGTGTAATATTTGTTACTGTTTCCTATGTAAGATTTTATACTGTTACCTGTGTAAGATTTGTTACTGTTACCTGTGTAAGATTTGATACTGTTTCCTATGTAAGATTTGATACTATTACCTGTGTAATATTTGTTACTGTTTCCTGTCTAAGATTTGTTACTGTTTCCTGTGTAAGATTTGTTACTGTTTCCTGTGTAAGATTTGATTCTGTTACCTATGTAAGATTTGATACTATTACCTGTGTAATATTTGTTACTGTTTCCTGTGTAAGATTTGATACTGTTTCCTATGTAAGATTTGATACTATTACCTGTGTAAGATTTGATACTGTTACCTGTGTAAGATTTGATACTGTTATCTGTGTAAGATTTGATACTGTTACCTATGTAAGATTTGTTATTGTTGCATGTGTAAGATTTGTTACTGTCACCTGTGTAAGATTTGTTACTGTTTCCTGTGTAAGATTTGATACTGTTTCCTGTGTAAGATTTGTTACTGTTTCCTGTGTAAGATTTGTTACTGTTACCTGTGTAAGATTTGTTACTGTTACCTGTGTAAGATTTGATACTGTTACCTGTGTAAGATTTGATACTGTTACCTGTGTAATATTTGTTACTGTTAACTTTGTAAGATTTGTTACTGTTACATGTGTAAGATTTGTTACTGTTACCTGTGTAAGATTTGTTACTGTTACCTGTGTAAGATTTGTTACTGTTTCCTAGGTAAGATTTGTTAATTTTTCCTGTGTAAGATTTGTTACTGTTACCTGTGTAAGATTTGTTACTGTTCCCTGTGTAAGATTTGTTACTATTTTCTGCGTAAGATTGGATACTGTTACCTATGTAAGATTTGTTACTGTTTCCTGTGTAAGGTTTGATACTGTTACCTGTGTACGATTTGTTACTGTTACCTGGGTAAGATTTGTAACTGTTTCCTGTGTAAGATTTGATACTGTTTCCTGTGTAAGATTTACCTATGTAAGATTTGTTACTGTTGCCTGTGTAAGATTTGTTACTATTTTCTGCGTAAGATTTGATACTCTTACCTGTGTAAGATTTGTAACTGTTTCCTGTGTAAGATTTGCTACTGTTACCTGTGTAATATTTGTTACTGTTAACTTTGTATGATTTGTTACTGTTACATGTGTAAGATTTGTTACTGTTGCCTGTGTAAGATTTGTTACTATTTTCTGCGTAAGATTTGATACTCTTACCTGTGTAAGATTTGTAACTGTTACCTGTGTAAGATTTGATACTGTTACCTATGTTAGATTTGTAACTGTTTCCTGTGTAAGATTTACCTATGTAAGATTTGTTACTGTTTCCTGTGTAAGATTTGATACTGTTACCTGTGTTAGATTTGTAACTGTTACGTGTGTAAGATTTGTTACTGTTACCTGTGTAAGATTTGTTACTGTTTCCTGTGTAAGATTTGTTACTGTTTCCTGTGTAAGATTTGATACTGTTACCTGTGTAAGATTTGTAACTGTTTCCTGTGTAAGATTTGTTACTATTTTCTGCGTAAGATTGGATACTGTTACCTGTGTAAGATTTGTTACTGTTTCCTGTGTAAGATTTGTTACTGTTTCCTGTGTAAGATTTGTTACTGTTTCCTGTGTAAGATTTGTAACTGTTTCCTGTGTAAGATTTGATACTGTTAGCTGTGTAAGATTTGTTACTGTTACCTGTGTAAGATTTGCTACTGTTACCTGTGTAATATTTGTTACTGTTACCTGTGTAATATTTGTTACTGTTTCCTGTGTAAGATTTGTTACTGTTTCCTGTGTAAGATTTGTTACTGTTACCTGTGTAATATTTGTTACTGCTACCTGTGTAAGATTTGTTACTGTTTCCTGTGTAAGATTTGATTCTGTTTCCTGTGTAAGATTTGATACTGTTTCCTATGTAAGATTTGTTACTGTTACCTGTGTAAGACTTGTTACTGTTACCTGTGTAAGATTTGTGACTGTTACCTGTGTAATATTTGTTTATGTAAGCTGTGTAAGATTTGTGACTGTTACCTGTGTAATATTTGTTAAGATTTGTTTCTGTTTCCTGTGTTAGATTTGATACTGTTACCTGTGTAAGATTTGTTACTGTTTCCTGTGTATGATTTGTTACTGTTTCCTTGTAAGATTTGTTACTGTTTCCTGTGTAAGATTTGTTACTGTTACCTGTGTAAGATTTGATAATGTTACCTGTGTAAGATTTGATACTGTTTCCTGTGTAAGATTTGTTACTGTTTCCTATGTAAGATTTGTTACTGTTTCCTGTGTAAGATTTGATACTGTTACCTGTGTAAGTTTTGTTACTGTTTCCTGTGTATGATTTGTTACTGTTTCCTCGTAAGATTTGTTACTGTTTCCTGTGTAAGATTTGATACTGTTACCTGTGTAAGTTTTGTTACTGTTTCCTGTGTATGATTTGTTACTGTTTCCTCGTAAGATTTGTTACTGTTTCCTGTGTAAGATTTGATACTGTTACCTGTGTAAGTTTTGTTACTGTTTCCTGTGTATGATTTGTTACTGTTTCCTTGTAAGATTTGTTACTGTTTACTGTGTAAGATTTGTTACTGTTACCTGTGTAAGACTTGTTACTGTTACCTGTGTAAGATTTGTGACTGTTACCTGTGTAATATTTGTTAAGATTTGTTACTGTTTCCTGTGTAAGATTTGTTAATGTTTCCTGTGTAAGATTTGTTACTGTTTCCTGTGTATGATTTGTTACTGTTTCCTCGTAAGATTTGTTACTGTTTCCTGTGTAAGATTTGATACTGTTACCTGTGTAAGTTTTGTTACTGTTTCCTGTGTATGATTTGTTACTGTTTCCTCGTAAGATTTGTTACTGTTTCCTGTGTAAGATTTGATACTGTTACCTGTGTAAGTTTTGTTACTGTTTCCTGTGTATGATTTGTTACTGTTTCCTTGTAAGATTTGTTACTGTTTCCTGTGTAAGATTTGTTACTGTTTCCTGCGTGAGATTTGATACAATTTTCTGTTTCAGGTTCGTGACTTTTTCCAGTATAAGATTTCATACTATTTCCAGTATAAGTTTTGATACTATTTCCAGTATAAGATTTGATGCTATTTCCAGTATCAGAATTCATACTATTTCCAGTATAAGATTTGATACTATTTCCAGTTTAAATTTTGTTCCTTTTTTTGTATCAGGTTTGTTACTATTTCCTGTTTTAGATTTGATTCTATTTCCTGTATAAGATTTGATACTATTTCGTTCAATATTTGTTACTATTTTCAGTGTAAAATTTGATACTATTTTCTGTATAAGATTTGTTTCTATTTCCTGTATAATATTTATTATTATTTCCTGTGTAAGATTTGTTACTGTTACCTGTGTAAGATTTGTTACTGTTTCCTGTGTAAGATTTGTTACTGTTACCTGTGTAAGATTTGTTACTGTTTCCAGTGTAAGATTTGTTACTGTTACCTGTGTAAGATTTGTTACTGTTTCCTGTGTAAGATTTGATACTATTTCCTGTATAAGTGTTGTCACTATGATATCTTTACGTCTGTTACTCTTTTTCTACATGTTGACTGACAGAATGGTGTCATCAGACCTGCTGAAGCCAAGCATCTCCCCACCCAATATCCAACACTGCCAGAAAAATTACGGGATGCAGGATATGCAACTCACTTGATCGGAAAGTAAGTCCCCGATCACTCAATGTCGTTATTTGTCTCTATAATCTCCAGTCCGCTGATGCTTATTTGCTTTATCATATTCATTAAAACACACGTATGCGAAATGTCCAATGGAAATCGGCGTTAACATGACTGAATCCAAACATTTTTGAAGAGTATCCAATTGTCGTTTTGAACCTGCCTTAAGGTTTCTTGTGGCTTTAAATTATCTGCCAAATCAACGTTGCAGAAAAAGAGGTTATAGTCAAAATTAAAAAGCCCGTCAAAAGGAATAATATTTTACAGTTGCGAGATAGAAAAATAAGTTTAGGTACAGCGACATTCCTTATTGTTTTATTTTGTTATGTAATATATGTGATGTTATATGTGTTATGTTATATATGTTATGTTATATATGTGATGTTATGATTAAGATGTTTGTTTTTTAATTTGCTTCAGCGTAAAGGCAACAGATCTTTCTTCTTATACTTCATAACATGACAATGTTGTCGTCATGAGTAACATCACTATGACGTCATATTTATCTGCCATGAAAAATTATATAAACTCAAATGTTTCAAGTAATTTTACTTGATTTAAAACATAAAAACGACAACAAAATACTTCAACATCTAATAAGACGGTTCAAATTCGCTTTTTGTCATATTTTTCATAGTTTTGTATTTGTATCACAGGAAAAAACGTATTTCTCCAATTAATCATATAGTTATGAACTTTTCTCCAGGATTCATTAGGGTTGTCTATGAAAACAATGTTACAATACACGTATCAACATTTTGGTGTATGTTTCGACTTTTGGCTACCAATGTTTTACGCAAGGTTGAGTTTGGTTTCAATTTGTTTTGCATCTAGTTTGGAACACAAAGGAAGGTTCTTTAATAAAAAATATATATATATAGTTTTATTCGTTTTATAGAAAATGTTTGATTCTAGGCAGTTTCTAAATGTGTGTTATACAAATGTGTAGTATACATGATTACTCGCCTACTCCAATACCCAAGGTGTGTATACACGACTACAAAACATTGACCCTTACAACAAGTTAGGGAACTATGACGTCAGTGGTAGCGCACGACACCGAACCTAATACTATAAGTGGGTCAGTTCAGGCCACTGACTGGCTCAGACGGGCCTTACCTAGTCGTGTACGTAAACCTATCGGGTGGTCGACAATGACCCAGTCAAGTCGGTTGAATAGTTTTATGAGTTCATTATCAAACCCCTAATCTCTTATCTGTAACACGTTCTGTAATTATGGCGGGAATCCAATCGTAACAAAGGCATTGACCTTCCGCAATGACCTTCCACACAGGGTCAATCACATTCAGTATAAGAAGATGAAGACCTGCCTGAGAGGAATTGATAAAAAGTTTAGGCTTGTTTTCCCATTCCCTTAATAACTTAGGTTTGTTACGATTGTGTTTCACTTATATTTGACCAAAACCGCCATAGATTAAGACATATATGAAATGGTAGCTAGCAAGTTCAACGACTAAATCTGTAGTACTTGAAAATATTGTAAGTTTTTGTAACTTGGAGACGGATTCCGGAGAATTCGTAAAACCATATGGTTTTAGTTCAAACAAGAAGGGTAAATTATCTCGAAATGAAAAACTCCTGAGGGCTCAACCAGAAATCACCATATCGACTAATGGGCCGATCGCGATTATTGGGTTGATATGGTGAAGGATATGGATGTGGAAATGGTTCATCCATTTAATTACGTGCTACCCAACGACGATTTCAAATGTGTTTGTCTTCTTTACAAAAAGCAACATACTATATGAAATTTATTGTGAATCGGTTGTACCGGAAGTAGAATTATAGCGCGCGCCGGAAAGATATAGAAGCTACAATACAGTATTTTACAAGCTAGTTTATATTATCATTTGTCCCAGAATTAATCATTCGTTAATTTGAATTCGGTTTTGCTTTTCGATTTAGATATCCAGAATGTTTCCTCATGTTATTGAAACGAGGAAGGAAAGTTACATAAACATTAAACGTAGCATTGTTGGGCCGGGCTGTCCAGTATGTGTAGACCTTGTAGACCTTGTTTACTGCTTTAACACACTACATACCATTAAGAGACAACGACGATCGGCAGGTTACGCGACACCGACAGGACACTTTAGGTAGCTTATTGGCAAACGACGAGAATCTAGAAACCTCGAACATGTCATCAATAGTCATGGTACATGTGTTGCTTACATTATTTAGATGGCACTTGGGATTCTGTAACTGGCGGTATACTCCTACCCAGAGGGGCTTCGATAGTTTTCTGGGGTTCTACACCGGAGCACAGGATTATTACAAACATACCCGAGGTAGGCGAACTTTTGTATTGAATAAAGAATCTTTATTGGATAAAATGTATGTTAAATATTTAAACATTGTATGAAGGTTAAGTAAAATCGAAAAATAGAATTGCTCTCTTCAATTGTCCTTTCAGGAATGACATTTGGAAAAGCGTTACAAGAAAAAGCTCAATAGTATATTGAAAACTAACTGGAGCCCATTTTTTTTTGCGATACCAAAAAAAGAAAGAGAATTCCAAACTCGTTCCAAATAAAAAAATTATGAAGCGAGGAAAATTAAAAAAATGGAATTTGATTGATTTTATATTCGTTTTATCGAAGTAGATAATGACATCACGTATTGTGGGCGATGTAACTCATTAAATGTCGAATACATGTTGCATAGCACCCGAGTACATGATAAATGATCTTAACATAATTTGAAATATTTATTTTTACAGAAAACGGTTACGATTTTAGATACAATGCAACCGTCTACCATCCTCCGAGAAAACAGTATTCGACAGTAAGTACACATTTAGTACGTGCCTCATCAGTGACTCAGACTTGTCCTTAATTCATAGTGGTATAAGGCACAGGGACATGAGGATGTGTTACATTATGGCTATATTTGGACTTTAACGGACGTGAGCAGAGTCCTATTAATATACAGTATCAATTTTGGGTAGTTTAGTTTAAACATATTTTTATTGTCGTAAATAAGGACAATTAGGATTGAGCACAAGTTTTGCCAACTTAGTAACGCCCTCTCCTTAATACATCATGTTGTATAATACATAATGGACAGCAGTGAATTAACTTTATCCGATCATATAGTAGAAACAGCGAGGGAAGGAAAGCAAGAAGAAGAAGAAGGGTAAAAGATAGGTAGGATCATCCCCTAAATATATATATATAATATACAAACCCATGTAAATGTTTAAAACAATATTTGGTTAACAGTAATCTGACTGGCTGGAAAAACATCAATCAACACTTTCATAAACTGTGTCCATCACATTCCATAAAGCTGTATTCTGTAGATCCACTCGTAACCGTTCCGTGTTCTCAAAGCCCTTCCTCCATACCAGCCAGATCAGATACACAATTATTCAAAATTATGTAAACATATTAACATTGATATTCATACTATATTATATTATATTTATTTCACAAAGTATAAAGGATATTAGAAACGAATAAAATAGAGGGGGGGAAGGGGGAGTGCTCAAAATGTCAAAAGTCAAACTCTGCCAGTACCGTCGATATAGACTTGTACCGTTCTTGCAATGTTTGAGTTTGCCTCCTTATTTAAATCTATATCACCCTTTAGAATTAGGTCTAATGACATATCTCCTGGATACCATGCTAAATTCTGCAATAAGGAAAGGCGTCGGATGTGGTATTTAGGGCATGTGAAGAAGAACTGATACGAGTCCTCCCTCGTGTGTCCACATTCACATTGTGCTGAAAAAGTAAGATTAGCCCTAAAAAGATCATAATTGAGAGTACTTGCCCTGTTTCTTAATCTACAATGAAGAATATTTAGCCTACGCGGACCAAAATTGAGAAAGCATGGATTACATTTAGTTATTACATTATTCAACTTATGTATATTTGATTTGAACGAGTTCAGAGTTTGGGAGTTTCTTATGGTTGTGTCTAAATTATTCCAAAGATCAACAGTTGAAGGAAAGAAAGAGTTGCGCATAGTTTGGAGTCTATACCGTTGCTACCGCAATCGCTGAGAATTTCTTAAATTATAATGAGTCAGATCTCCAGTATTTTGAGGTAGGCTATTACATAAGTATGAGGGTGCAGTGCCATGTTTTATAGTATAAAGGAGGGACAGTTTTCTGATTTCTCTTCGTTTTGACAATGGTAGCCACCCAATTTCTGCATATAATAATTCGTTTTTTGAGTACATTGGTAATCCTGTGACAATACGGGCCGCATCTAGTTGTAGTTTTTCAAGATTATTTGAATTGATAGCACCACAGTTATCCCATACCTCACAGCCATACTCTAATATTGGTCTAATATATGTTAAATACAATTTCTCTAAGTTATCCCTATTAAGTATAAATTTCAATTTGCGAAGTGTTGCTGTGTATTTTGATACTTTCTTGATAATTTCATCTATATGTTTGGACCACTTGGCATCACTACTTAGTAATACACCTAGGTGCTTATGTTGATCGGTTATTTCAATAGGGATGTTATTGAACGTAAACAGAAGTTGATAGGGTAGATTTGAAAAAGATACTAACATAAATTCCGTCTTCTTTGGGTAAACTGCAGCCCCCACCATATTGTGGTATATTTGTGCGTATATGTCATTATTGAAGGTAGCATTGTTACAGAAAGTCGATATAAATCCACAAAACGTGTGCTATTACTCTTAACACGCTCAGTTAGGTCCAAATATAGATGTAACAAATGCTCAGGTCCCTGTGTAGGAGTGCCACGTACCTAAGTATTAGAAATTATTCGAAACACAATAATTTTGTACATGTTCATAAGTAATAAAGAAAATTATAAAAAAAATCATATCTACTCTATAAATTGACAAGTGTACGTTCCTTAGTCTTTTTTTTGTGTTCTCTCAAACTATCATGTATAATGTAATCCTTTCATATCACAGAAAACTTACGCGGATCGCGCCGTTGAGGTGATCCGGGAAAACCGGAAAACAGATAAACCGCTCTTCATGTACCTGTCTTTCCAGTCCGTCCATACCCCATTACAGGTGAGACTCCTTATCATCTAAGTGGTCAAACACGTTACTGGTCATCTAAGGGGTCAAACTCTTAACTGGTCATCTAAGTGGTCAAACCCTGTACTGGTCTTCGAAGTGGTCAAAACCTTTATTGGTCATCTAAGTGATCAAACCCTTTACTGGTCATCGAAGTGGTCAAACCCTTTACTGGTCATTTAAATTGTCAAACCCTTTACCTTTACTGGTCATCTTAGTGGTCAGACCTTTTACTGGTCATATAATTGGTCAAGCCCTTTACTGGTCATATAAATGGTCAAGCCCTTTACTGTTCATCTAGGTGGCCAAACACTTTACTGGTCACCTAAATGGTCAAGCCGTTTACTGGTCATTGTACGTAAGGATACTTTTTGACACACATTCTCTTGGTATAAGCTTTAAACTTTACCTATGTCATAGAGGTCATTATTTTGTTCATTGCTTGCCTCCGCTAGAGGTCAAACTTAGAGCCTCTGGCTACTTGTATGACGCTCTACCGATTTGAATTGACATAATTCAGGTATATATGAATGGTAACATGTTGTTGGTTTAAGCTTTTAAAGGAAGATAACTATAACAGTTTTTTTTTCAAAGGGGGTGTTTTAAGGGCGATAACTCTAAATATGCATGCATGTCTGTTCTCCAGGACTAGGACGCTAGCCGCAACGGATACTTCTTTATGTCTAAGTGAGGAGAAGGACAACTTTATGACTTTTGTAAATAAATTTACCCGAATCATCTCTTTTTTTCTAAATACCCAGGTACCAAGAAAATTCCAATCATTATACAAGAATGTTAAGAACAAGGAGAGGAGGATATATAATGGTATGTTGTATATTTGTATGTATTATTGTTTGTTATATTATATATATTATATTGTATTCTGAATAATTTCTAACAATCCCTTTGGCCGATTATTTTTGTTATGCCATGTGATCAATACAATCAAATCAGAAACTCTGTTATATAGATGAGATGCAATTATGTCTGATGTCCACTGGATTTAAAAATTAAGTAATCCTATAAGGAACTGATGTTCTTTGTGTCACAGGGATGGTCACGGCTATGGATTCGGCTATAGGCACGGTAGTGGCTGCCCTTAAAAAGTATAGATACTTACAGAACTCAATCATCGTCTTTACTACAGATGTAAGTATTTATTACACATTCATTACGTAAACCTCCGCAGTGCCGGTACTGGTATTGAAAATGTTACTTTAACATGCATTCGAAGTTAATACTTATTAAAAAGTATCGTTTGCTTTACACTTGCAACTGACATTTGCATTTTTCCATAAATACCAGTTTCACAGTGGTTTACATATACTAGAGAACAAATATTACCCCATCTTCACCAGAATGTGCTAGGGTTTGAATTACAAAGTTTAAATGGTATAGAGATGGTTAGAGTTTGATATCAATACCTTATTAGGACATTTGTTGTTTTCCATGTATGTTGAAAACAATATATACATTATAGAATGGAGGGGCTGCCCACGTGGCCGGAAATAATCTGCCCTTGAGGGGCTCCAAGACGACACTCTGGGAGGGCGGTACCCGGGCGGTGTCCTTCGTACTCGCGAAGAAATTCCAAAAGCGGAAGAGGTTCGTTCATGATGGGTAAGCTCGCAGGCATGAAACAACTTCATACCTTCTACCAAACATTTGCGTCAACTAAAATAGGCTATTTTAGCTACTATGTTGTATACGCCCGTCATCCGACGGGTCGTATTATGGGGGCTGCGTTGTCCGTCCGTCCGTTAACTTTTCCTTGTTATCGCTCCCCGGTCATACCAATATCGCTCCCCGGTCATACCAATATCGCTCCCCGGTCATAACAATATCGTTCCCCGGTCATACCAATATCGCTCCCCAGTCATACGCATATCGCTCCCCAGTCATACCAATATCGATCCGCAGTCATACCAATATCGCTCCCCAGTCATATCAATAACGCTCCCCAGTCATATCAATATCGCTCCCTAGTCATAACAATATCGCTCCCCGGTCAAATCAATATCGCTCTCCGGTCATACCAATATCGCTCCCCAGTCATAACAATATCGCTCCCCAGTCATAACAATATCGCTCCCCAGTCATACCAATACCGCTCCCCAGTCATACCAATATCGCTCCCCTGTCATACCAATATCGCTCCCCGGTCATCCCAATATCGCTCCCCGGTCATCCCAATATCGCTCCCCAGTCATACCAATACCGCTCCCCAGTCATACCAATATCGCTCCCCCGTCATACCAATATGGCTCCCCAGTCATACCAATATCGATCCGCAGTCATACCAATATCGCTCCCCAGTCATATCAATAACGCTCCCCAGTCATATCAATATCGCTCCCTAGTCATAACAATATCGCTCCCCGGTCAAATCAATATCGCTCCCCGGTCATACCAATATGGCTCCCCGGACATACCAATATCGCTCTCCGGTCATACCAATATCGCTCCCCAGTCATACGCATATCGCTCCCCAGTCATACCAATATCGATCCGCAGTCATACCAATATCGCTCCCCAGTCATTCCAATATCGCTCCCCAGTCATATCAATATGGCTCCCCGGTCATATCAATATCGCTCCCCAGTCATAGCAATATCGCTCCCCAGTCATATCAATATGGCTCCCCGGTCATATCAATATCGCTCCCCAGTCATAGCAATATCGCTCCCCAGTCATATCAATATCGCTCCCCAGTCATATCAATATCGCTCCCTAGTCATACCAATATCGCTCCCCGGTCAAATCAATATCGCTCTCCGGTCATACCAATATCGCTCCCCAGTCATACCAATATCGCTCCCCAGTCATATCAATATCGCTCCCCGGTCATAACAATATCGCTCCCCGGTCATACCAATATCGCTCCCCGGTCATACCAATATCGCTCCCCGGTCACACAATATCGCTCTCCGGTCATACCAATATCGCTCCCCGGTCATACCAATATCGCTCGAACTTGTTTGCATTTCAGATGTTTACGTGCAATTTTGGTGGAGTAATGCCCCTTTTATTGCAAAATAAGGGCATTGTGTAGTATATGCAAGAACTTTTTTTATTTTTTTAATAAATTCCTTTCAAATTTTGTAAGGTCATGCTGGAAGAATTAATGTTCATCATTTATTACGCGTTTTTCTGTTGAGTTTCATCTTTCCGCGTTTTGGCATATCACACTTTACATTCATGTAGCAATGCTGTTCATCGTTTTTGCAGTTAACCTTTGCTTGTTTACGCATGTACATTTGTATAATGGCGTTTGTAAGCCTTTTTTGTTAACTAATACTATTGTCCATATGTTGTAAAGCGCTGTAGACACGTTTTACATTTTGTATAGAGCGCTATGTAAATTTTGTGTATTATTTATTTATAAATAAATCAACCAAAGGAACGTTTTCCTGAAAAAGAATGTGGGGAGCATGGGTTCTTTTCGTTGAATCTGGTCTCGTAGTTCTGTCTGTACCTACTAGAATAATTTTGTCATCTCAGCAAAATCTAGAAATTGTGAAAGATCGCTACTATATACAATTCTACAATACACGTCTGTTATTATTGTCTCACAGGTGCGTGTATATCTCACATGTGTGTTTAGGTCTCACAGGTGTGTTTAGGTCTCACATGTGTGTTTAGGTCTCACAGGTGTGTTTAGGTCTCACAGGTGCGTTAAGGTCTCACAGGTGTGTTTAGGTCTAATAGATGTGTTTAGGTCTCAAAGGTGTGTTAAGGTCTCACAGGTGCGTGTAGATCTCACAGGTATGTTAAGGTCTCACAGGTGTGTTTAGGTCTCACATGTGTGTTTAGGTCTCACAGGTGTATTTAGGTCTCACAGGTGTATTTAGGTCTCACGTGTGTTGGGTCTCACAGGTGTGTTTAAGTCGCACAGGTGTGTTAAGGTCTCACATGTGTGTTTAGGTCTCACAGGTGTGTTAGGTCTCACAGGTGTGTTTAGGTCTCACAGGTGCGTGTAGATGTGTGTTAAGGTCTCACATGTGTGTTTAGGTCTCACATGTGTGTTAGGTCTCACAGGTGTGTTTAGGTCTCACAGGTGCGTGTAGATCTCACATGTGTGTTTAGGTCTCACAGGTGTATTTAGGTCTCACAGGTGTGTTTAGGTCTCACAGGTGCGTGTAGGTCTCACAGGTGAGTTTAGATCTAATAGATGTGTTTAGGTCTCACAGGTGCATGTAGGTCTCACACGTGTGTTTAGATCTAATAGATGTGTTTAGGTCTCACAGGTGTGTTTAGCTCTCACAGGTGCGTGTAGATCTA